TAAGTGTTCTCTCTATGCCATCATCTACATCATTGATGAAGATATTGAATAGAACCAGTCCCAAAACAGATCCCCATGGAACCCCACTTGTTATCCCTTTCCAGCATGACTCTGAAGCATTAATAACTACTCTCTGAGAACAGTTATCCAGCCAGTTATGCACCCACCTTATAGAAGCCCCATCTAAGTTGTATTTGCCCAGTTTATTGATAAGGTCATGCAAGACCATATCAAACGCCTTACTAAAGTGTAAGGATACCACGTCCACCGCTTCTCCCTTATCCAGAGAGCTTGTTGTCCTATCAGAGTAAGCTATCAGATTGGTTTGACATGATTTGTTCTTTACAAATCCATGCTGGCTCTTGCCTATCACCTTATTGTCTTCCATGTGTTTGCAGATGAATTCCTTAATTACCTGCTCCATTATCTTCCCTGGCACAGAAGTTAAACTGACCGCTCTGTAGTTTCCTGGGTTGTTCTCATTTCCCTTTTTATCTAGATTTGCCCTTTTCCAGTGTTCTGGAATCTCTCCCAACTTCCATGATTTTCCAAAGATGACAGCTAAAGGCTCAGATACCTCCTCTATCAGCTCCTTGAGTATTCTAGGATGCATTTCATCAGGCCCTGGTGACTTGCAGACATCTCACTTTTCTAAGTGATTTTTAACTTGTTCTTTTTTTATTTCATCTTCTAAACCTACCCCCTTCCCACGAGCATTCACTATGTTAGACATCCCTTCATCATCAGACTTCTCGGTGAAGACCAAAACAAAGTCATTAAGAGTCTCTGTCATTTTCAAGTTTCCTGTTATTATTTTTCCCTCCTCTCTGAGCAATGGGCCTATCCTGTCCTTGGTGCTCCTCTTGCTTCTAATTCATTTATAGAAAGTTGACAGGACCTTCCTTTAAAACTTGCTTTGGAAATATTTCATTGGTGTGTTACTAAAGATTATAAACTCACAGGTCTAAAGAATTGCCTCTCCCCCCATCGAACTAGCTACCATCGGGTATAGAGGCACCAGTGTCATCATGCTGCGTAGGGCCCATAATTCCTAAGCTGAGGCCTGCCTCTGTGGATACTGCTTGTGAGTTGTCTCTACTGGACTTGAAAATAACAATAACTCTAAGAAGAGAAAAGAGTAACCTGGCTATGGTACCTGTGGTTCTGGGAGCTGTGTGGCTCATGTCCATTCTCCTACCCACTGCTACTCTCAGTTGGGGTAACTGGAAAGAAGAAACTGAGAGGCCAGAGGGCCAGTGGTGTGACATATGCTGATACGTGTTCACCTCATAACAAAGGGGGTCACAGCCAAAGGTACTGGATACTGCCAAGGCAAAATCCCTGATAACTTACACACGTAGGGTGCAATCAACACGAGCATCTTATCTTGAAGAGTAAGAAATATGACAGATTGATGTTGGATTTTTATGGCAGGAAAGTGGAACTCCTGGGTTCTGTCATGGATCAATCATTCTCTGTGGACCGTGGCCAAGTCATGTGCCCTTGTGCCTCAGTTGATCTCTTTGTATACTCGGGCTATGTTCATAGAATCTTTCTCCTGCTAGGGCTCTGTGGATGCTTCAAGGAGAGGTGCTGCACAATACGATGGAAACAACGGGTGATAATTATTGACTTCTGGTCAACAGCAACCGCCCCGTGTGCCGGCAGAAAGTGTTCATGGCTCCCCACAGTCATCTATCTACAGATCAGTCTGTTTACTATCTAGCCACCCACCATGGGCATTCACAAGGAAGCAGATGCGGTGGAGACCTTGGCATTATCCCTCATTTTCCTAATAATCAACTCTAATGATTGAATAGTCACAAAAACCCAGAGCAGCCAATCCCTCGCTTATTCAGCTGAGACGAAGAGCTCTCCTTTCCCTTTGGGAATGCCCCTTCACCGCTGTTTATTCCTAACGCTGGATAATAAGCACACAAGCACTGAGAGGCTGGTCTCTTTACATTCAGACATTGAACACACCCCTCTGGGATCACACAGAGCCTTGCTACAAAAAGTGCCACCCCTGTGTCACCTCCCACTGTGAGATGCTGCCGCAGGTGCTGGAGGGAGAGAAGTGAAGCTGATACCTATGGAAGACACGTCCATTTTTTCAAAGCGGCGAGGAGTCCGGTGGCGCCTTATAGACTATCTCAGCATTCCCAGGTACCCGTCTCTTGCTGAGGAGCTCCCCTGCGTGACAAACCAAGGGCTACATCGGCGTGATGGGTTAGCCAGTAAGTCTGGGGTCCTTTCTGCTCTCCTCAGCTATTAGACATCCCGGGGCTCTTGCCACAGGTGATAAGATTTGTCAAGGATCACAAACCTAAACCTCACTCTTTTCTTTGCACCAACTCCTGCCCCTGCTGGGCTGCGTTTCAGGGGCTAAGTGGATCGTTCCAGATGATGGGTGTTATTAGATGTGCAATGCAAGAGCAATTTTTGAGGCGGTGGTACATAATATGCTGAGACCCCTCCCTCGCTGAGGGACAACTCCCCTTGAAGTAAGACCAGAAAAAAGACCACAGGAGCCAGCTTTGTGGTAATGCCCAGAGACGGTCACCTCCTCCCCCTGCATTTCAGGGCTCCGGCCGTTCATGCTTTTAACCTGCTTGGGAGCATGGCGGTTCTAAGGCCCTCGCTGGATCATTTGTAAGAAGTTTTCAGCATGGGCAAGACGTCTGCTCTCCCAGATTCAATCCCCAGGGTGTCAGAACGGCCATGTCGGAGCATCCAGAATCTGTTCAGCCGGAAGCAGACACCCCGTGAGAGACAGCTGGGTGCAAACAGTTCTGCAGTTGGGCAAACGGATCAGCAATTACATGCCAGGACTCACAATTGCCGGGGTCACACAGCAGTCACCTAATGTGACACCACCAGCACTGTCCACAGTAGCCACTCCCGTTGGGAATCCCTCTCCACTGAGCTCTTCCCTCCCGCAATATCCGTGGCAAGGCAGTGCCCAGGCCACAGATGGGTTCTGTGGACAGGTGTTTTTTAAATCAATTTTACGCATTCAGACTTTCAGTGTAAGTGAATGTTCCCTTGGGCATGTGCTATGAGACAGGGTGGCTGCGTCTAGATTGGCATGATTACGTTCAGACTCTAGTGTAAGTGAATGTTCCCTGGGCACGTGCTATGAGACAGGGCAAATATAAACGTGATTTGCTTTTTCTAACAATAAATTCAGAGAGTTTACAGTGACTATTAGACCACCCCATCAGATCTCCTGTATAACACGTGCCAGTGCATTTCTCCTCGTTACCCCTCTATTGAGCCCACCCACTTGTGTGTGACTAAGACCTGGTCAACACTGGGATTTTACTGCACAGATTCATAGAGCCTAGACTAAGGAGAACACAAAGGCCATCTCGTGTAACACCCTGCCAAGATGCACAATTTGCTGTGTCTGTACCAGCCAGGAGAGGTGACTATTCATCCTTCTTTGGAAACCCTTCCCAGGCATCTCTTCTTTTGTCCCCCTGTTCTTAGAGTTCACATTTCTCCTGAGAATTCTTCTAACTTTGCAATGCTGTTGTTCAAGTCTACTAACTGTGGTCATGCTCTTTGAGATAAAAAAGAACTCGTTTTCTCGATCGCTGTTGTTTTACACCAACTTTTTAAGTATCTGCAGAAGTGTAAAGTGTCTCCTCAATGTCCTTGTTTCCAAATTCAGCGTCTCAGCTCTTTTTTCTGCTCCTAGTCTTTGTATTGCACCCCTTGGATCGTCTTTGCCTCTGGATCATTTCCAGAACCCTTGCCACCTTCCTAGGAATAGGTGAGCCAAAGTGGGCACGGTTCTCCAGCTGAGACCTAAGCTGTGCCGAGCAGAGGACTGTTACCCCCTCCTATGACTTGCACTCTGTGCCTCTGTTAATCACACCCCAAACTGCATTGGCTTTTCCTTCAGTAGCAAAAAAAATCCAAAGAGAGATGTAGTTGTGTCAGTCTAAACACAGTGCAGACAGCATGAGGTCCACACAGAATTCTTCCAGCCACCTCGCCAATGACTCTCAGTGAAGTGGATTACTGACTCTACCACTGGTGTAAGTGGTGCCTATGTTCAAGCACCACTGCAATGCCACTGTAGTGTTTTATTTGTAGACAAGCTCTTAAGGAGACACTACAGACATGCAACCAGGCTAGGACGGCAGACACACGGAATTAGAGAATCGACCAAGGCCATTTTCAATGGATTCCAATGGTTGATCTGCATCAGGGCTAAACAGTTGTTCCTTATTTCCACCTGGAATTTGTCTGGATTCAATTTCCAGCTCTGCCTTGCCACGCTAGATGAGAGCATATTAGTATCCATAGTTTCCTCCCCATAAATGTATCTGCTTGAGCATCTTTTTGATAAGATCAATAGACGGATCTCTTCAAATGTCTCTCTCTGGCATCGTCTCTACCCCTTTCCTTGTCTAGGTTTTCCAAGCTATTGCGAATGAACAGGTGTTCCATGGAGCTGCTCTCAGGGATGCCCAGATCTTTTCTCCAAAGTCCGTTCTAGTCGGGAGGTTTTTAAAAAGGGTTTCCTCCTCCACTGTGATTTTAAGCAACAGAGTGAACAGAGAACCCTCTCCTGCATGGCTGTCTAACCTGGGTCACAAGGCATTAAGAAACAAGGAGGGATACACAATAGCCACATGCAACTTTCCTGATGGTGTTTATGAATGTTTCGCACATTAGAACACATAGGAGTTATTGGTTAAAGGAGCTCTGTCAAATAGGGAATTAGTAGGGTCAGATTTTCATAATTACTTTTTTCTAAATAATGAAAATGTCATTTTCTGTGTGTTAAGAATAACCAATCGGCTTCCCTCATGAGAACAGCCAACAAGCGGTGCACGTACTAATTCCAACTAACATCGTCTCTCCATCCAGGTGTTTGTACTCTGACCATCTCCCTAGATGTTGGGCACATAAAGAAGTCAGTGGCATGTACTGAACATTCAGGAAGCATTGTTCTCCCTCAGAGTTGGACATCTTCTCCCGACTCCATGTCAGATTCCAACAGAACTGACTTTATCAACCCCTCCATCTTCATCCTGCTGGGAATTCCTGGCCTGGAGGCAGCCCATGTCTGGATCTCCATCCCCTTCTGCACCATTTACGCCATTGCCATCTTGGGGAACGTCACCATTCTATTTGTTGTGAAGACAGATCCAAGTCTCCATGAGCCCATGTACTATTTCCTCTGCATGCTGGCCATCACCGACCTGGTCCTGTCTACATCTACCCTGCCCAAAATGCTGAGCATCTTCTGGTTCAGTTCCAGGGAGATCGATTTCAGTGCCTGCCTCACCCAGATGTTCTTCATTGACTGCTACTCAATGATGGAATCTGGGATCTTTGTGGCCATGGCGTTGGATCGCTACGTGGCCATTTGTGTTCCACTGAGACATTCCTCCATCCTGACAAACACTGTGGTGTCCAAGATTGGTCTAGCCATGATGCTTCGTGGCAACATTCTCATAATGCCCTGTCCCTTCCTTGCAAGTCAGTGGTCATATTGCAGAACCAACATTATCCCCCATACATACTGCGAGCACATGGCTGTGGTTGAGTTGGCTTGCACTGACATCACCATCAGTAATTACTACGGCCTTTCTGTGCTGCTCTGTGTCCATGGTCTGGATGTTATTTTTATTGCCATTTCCTATACCCAAATCCTTAGGGCTATTTTCAGCCTCCCCACAAAGGACGCCCGGCTCAAGACTTTTGGGACTTGCAGCTCCCACCTCTGCGCCATCCTTACATTTTATGTCCCAATGATCTTTACCTCCCTCATACACCGGTTTGGCCACAGGGTGGCCCTGCCTTTCCACATTCTCATTGCCAACATTTACCTCTTGGTGCCCCCCATGCTAAACCCCATCATCTATGGGGTGAGGACCAACCAAATCCGGAATAGGATCCTCTGGCTCTTTACTCATAAAAGAACTTAAAGTGTTCTCGTCTGGGACCAAGCTAGAGAAAGAGGTAAACACGGGGGTGGCAAAATCTGCAGATGATACTAAACTTCTCAATAGCAATAGAAACGTAGCCGTGTTAGTCTGGTGTAGCTGAAACAAAATACAGGACTAAGTAGCACTTTAAAGACTAACAAGATGGTTTATTAGGTGATGAGCTTTTGTGGGCCAGACCCACTTCCTCAGATCCACTTCCACTTACCCATTACAAAGATAGCTTCCCCAGTTATCACCTTTAATACCATTAGCTCACAAACATTTACCTTCCCCCTGCATCTCCCTTCTGTTCTGAAATTTGATTTGTCCTTTTCATATGTGTTCATCATTTTTTAAATTGTATCCTTTGGTATATATGGTTGTGACTATTTTCTTCCACTATTTGATCTGAGGAAGTGGGTCTGGCCCACAAAAGCTCATCCCCTAATAAACCATCTTGTTAGTCTAAACTTCTCAAGACAGCTAAGACCAAATCAGAGTGTCAAGAGCTCACAAAACTAAGTGATTGGGCAACAAAACGACAAATGAATTTCAATATTGATAAATGTGAGGTTATGAACATTGGGAAAATAATCCCAAGTATACGTACAAAATCTATACATACAAAATGATGGAGATTAATCATAGAATCATAGAACCATGGAGCTGGAAGAGACCTCAGTAGGTCGTCAAGTCCAGCCCCCTGCTCTAGGCAGGACCAATCCCAACTAAAATGAGCTATTACTGCTCAAGAGTGACATCTTAGTGCCACTTCAGATAGTTCTCTGAAAACATCCATTCAATGTGCAGCAGGAGTCAAAAATGCAAACAGAATGTTAGGAATCTTTAAGAAAGGGGTACATAATGAGTCAAAGAATATCTTATTGCCTCTACATAAATCCATGGTACGCCCATATTTTGTATACTGTGTACAGATGGGGTCACCTCATCTCAAAAAAGGTATCTTGGCATTGGAAAAGATTCAGAAAAAGGCAACAAAAACGATTAGGACTTTGGAACAGATGCCATATGAAGAGAGATTAAAATGATTGGGACTTTTCGGCTTAGAAAAGAGGAGACTAAGGAGAGAGGTCTGTAAAATTATGTCAGATCTGGAGATAACATAGGAACTAGGGGTCACCAAATGAAATTGATAACAGGTTTAAAAACAAAGTAAAGGAAGTTTTTCTTTACACAGTGCACAGTCGGCCTGTGGAACTCCTTGCTAGCGGATTCTGTGAAGACTTCGACTTTAACAGGGTTCAAAAATAGTTAGACCAATTCATGCCCAGAAAATGAATACCCGTGCCGAGAAATGGACTGGACCTTTACAATATGGATATGTGAGTAGAAAGGAAATGTTTTTAGGTAGCAGTGAGCAGGTTACTTCCTTTGTTTTGTTTGGTTAAACTCCTCTGTGTTGAATCCATACTCTCCCCACTTCACACTATACTGTAAGTAAAGCTGAATCCTAGGGAAGCAATTCTCTGTCTTTAAATCGTTCTTTTCTCAGTTGCTTTATAGCACCTAGCAACCCTAGTATGCTTTACGAATTCCATCTTTTTGTTTTGTTAATAAAAGCACCTTTTGGAGGCTATGATCTGATTCTTGTGTCCTGGAAGGTAATAAGAGGTGTGTGTATGCATTCTGCAGGCCGAGGGTTCAGCTCTGCTGTCCATCAGGAAACCTCACAAGCAAAACCACTCAGACACCCCAGCTTTCCCTGGGCCACAATCAGACTCAGACCACACATACTGGTGAGAGGCTATAAAACCCAATCTCAGTTCCCATTTTGATTCTGGGAGAGGACAGTGTGGCTACGTCTACACTGGCATGATTTTCCAAAAATGCTTTTAACGGAAAACTTTTCCGTTAAAAGCATTTCCGGAAAAAGCACGTCTAGATTGGCAGGATGCTTTTCTGTGGCCAATCTAGACGCGGTTTTCCTCAAAAAAGCCCCGATCGCCATTTTCGTGATCAGGGCTTTTTTGCTGAAAACAGTACTATGCTGTCTACACTGGCCCTTTTGCCCGAACAGGAGCAGCATAGTATTTCCGGAAAAGCACTGATGATTTCACATGAGATCGTCAGTGCTTTTCCGGAAATTCAAGTGGCCATTGTAGACAGCTGGCAAGTTTTTCCGCAAAATCTTCTGATTTTGCGGAAAAACTTGTCAGTCTAGACACAGCCTGTGTGTCTCTGATTCTGTCTCAGGTTCGGAGGAAAGGCTGCACAGCTAACAGAACGGCTGCACGGAGAATCTCTGTGGGATGCAGGAAGATGGCAGGCAATGTCCCATCTCTAGACACTGTAGACACTGGTAATCTCTCAGAGGACTTCACACCTGGTTCCATGTAGAAGCAGAAATGGGTGCTGGAGGGATGAGAGATGTGTAAGTCTAACAGGCCAGAGAAAATGGAGCCTGTCTGTTTGAGATGGACACCAAACTGGAGAATTATGCTGAAAGCAGAGGAAAAGATTAGTGTCTGTGATGATACTTGTACCTGACTGACTGGGGGAGGAAGACTTCATGGTCATTGTGAGTAGTGGGGACATGCCCTAACAGCCCTTTATCTCTGTTAGGCAAGGGACTTCAGTATTTGAGCCCACAGGGGAAGTGGAGGGCGGGAGGGGAGGAAAAAACTTGCTTGTGCAAAGGAAAACTGCAATTTAACCCTGAAATGTCAGAACTTCCAATGGTGCTGAGCCAAAGTTGTGGCCTTACAAAAGGAGCTGGAAATGTACAATTGCAATAGATTTGTTCTTATTGCTCATGTTAACTTCTGTAATCAATGGGCTGCTGATGCCAAGATCTATAAAGATATAGGCTGTGTCTACACTGGCATGAATTTCCGGAAATGCTTAAAACGGAATACTATTCCGTTTTCAGTTTTTCCGGAAAAGGAGCATCTACATTGGCAGGCTGCTTTTCCGGAAAAGCCCTTTTCCCGGAAAAGCGCGTCTACATTGGCCAGCTGAATCCTAGGGAAGCAATTCTCTGTCTTTAAATCGTTCTTTTCTCAGTTGCTTTATAGCACCTAGCAACCCTAGTATGCTTTACGAATTCCATCTTTTTGTTTTGTTAATAAAAGCACCTTTTGGAGGCTATGATCTGATTCTTGTGTCCTGGAAGGTAATAAGAGGTGTGTGTATGCATTCTGCAGGCCGAGGGTTCAGCTCTGCTGTCCATCAGGAAACCTCACAAGCAAAACCACTCAGACACCCCAGCTTTCCCTGGGCCACAATCAGACTCAGACCACACATACTGGTGAGAGGCTATAAAACCCAATCTCAGTTCCCATTTTGATTCTGGGAGAGGACAGTATACAGTGTGCATGCTCTTCTGGAAAAACTGGAGCACGTTAAGAAATGTACCAAAGGACACACTGGGTATGTCTAGACTGCATCCCTCTGTCAGCATTGCAAATGAGGCAGAGATTTAAATATCCCGTGCTTAATTTGCATAAAAATGGCCGCCACGTTTTGCCGACTCAGCACTTTGTTAGCAAAAAGCAGCAGTCTAGAGGGGGATCTGTAGAGAAAGAAAGCCTTTTTCGACAGATCCTGTAAATATCCTTGCAGGAGGCATAAGGGATCTGTTGAAAAAGGCTTTCTTTCTCGACAGATCCCCCTATAGACTGTTGCTTTTTGCCGACAAAGTGCTGAGTCGGCAAAACGCGGAGGCCATTTTTATGTAAATTAGGCACGGGATATTTAAATCCCTGCCTCATTTGCAATGTTGACCTGCCTAATCTGCATCCCTCTGCCGACAGGGGGATACAGTCTAGACATACCCACTGTATATGAAAAAGCCTTGATACTCGTATTTCTCTGTTGATGCCTATAACTAGTTTTGAAACTTGTCACAAGAGAAAGGGAAGTCCAGAACTGGTATTCTGTGTGGAAAAGGGAAACGGCGGCATGCCGACATTTGGTTTTCATGTCTTCGTGCCAAGATGCCTACACTACGGAAATTAACTCAATGTTAACTGGATTCCAGACAGTTGCTAGAGCTGACATGGATAAGTTTACTATTTTCTTTAGCTCTAGGCAAGGTCACATGACACATGACATGGGGTAATGGTGCAAAAGCAGACCCAATCTGCTACGGTTCTTACCAAATTTTACCTTGGGTTTATAAACAAGTGCGAGGATATTGATGGCTCTAGGATAAACCTTGCAATGATGAAGCCTGTTTTAGGTGAGCCTGGTTTCCATAAACCATTCGTATTGGACTAGAACCTGTAATAACATAGAGCCAAACTGCGGAGGGCTTGTGATGCCCTCAGTGATGTTACTGGCATCACTTCCTGCGTCAATTTTGCTTTGGGGGTGTCATGTTATTGGATTTCAAAGTGAGCAGGCTGCATCTCCGGGGGGTGTTTGCTCCAAATCCTGTACAAAGGGAACCATGTGAGGTGTCAAACAAAGGCTTATGCTCTGCAGATTCTATATACGCCACTCATATGCTTGTATGACGTTTGTATGTGCAGTTACGGATATGGGCTCTGTACTTGTGTTGTACATGTTCCCTGTCTGGGAGGGAGCAATAGGCCTGGACTGCCTATTGGGAGCAATGATTGTTCAGCAACTGGCTGTGCTCACTAGCCCTGCTTCATGGCCAATGGCTCTCGGAGCGGCCAATACACCTGAGAGTTGCGTCTGGAAACATGCAGGCCAGCCAGTGCGTTGGGGCTACTTGCACGTGAAACATGGACAGGTCACTCGATCATGTGACCAGCTCCAGTTTGGGAGACACCAGGGCTACGTCTGGACTGGCATGATTTTCCGCAAATGCTGCTAACGGAAAAGTATTTCTCTTAAAAGCATTTTCGGAAAAGAGCGTCTAGATTGGCATGGATGCTTTTCTGCAAAAGCACTTTTCGCAGAAAAGCATCCGTGCCAATCTAGACGCGGTTTTGCACAAGAAAGCCCCGATCGCCATTTTCGCCATCGGGGATTTTTTGCGCAAAACAATACCGCGTTTTCTACACTGGCCC